CTTTCCCTTTATCAAGAGTTATTATGCTACTAACTTACCTGACTACTAAAGACAATGACAGTAAATAGGGTGAGGTGGCAAGAACATAGCCATTTTGAAGCAAGTGAAAAATCGTTCTTTTCTATTTTCTTTCAATAGTTAATATTTAATCTTCATTGGATGTATGTGTGCATTATGCATGAAATATTTATTTCAACGTCCAATTTTGATGCCTTCCTTGTGTTGAAAGCATGTAAAGTATAAGTTAATCCATAAAATGTGGGTACGAACAGCAGCAGCACATTCTCAATTAACATTAAACCTTTCCTAATCTTTTCCCTTAGGACTTTGAATGATGAGTTTTATAATGATTATACTGTAATAATACAATAATAGAAGTACTGTAATATACTGTTTAACCATGAAAACAGAGTAAAAATACAAGTTAGAGAGCCAAAAACTAAAAGAGACATTAAAGAGAGTATTGAGTCAGTAAAAGCTTTTGTAGATTATGGGAGTTACCTTCTTCAAATGGACTCTGCTACCATCCTTTTGTACATAAAACTGGCTGGAAAGAGCCTGTGGTCATACTAGCTTTATCACCAAGGATTAGAATCCATTTCCTTTGCCTATGAAGAAGGTATTTGACAGAGGGAAGGATAGGTAAGGAAAAGAAATTATGCTCTTTTTCTCAAGTCAAGGCACTTTGTTCCTTTAAACTCGGGAGAAAGTTAGCTGCTGCTTCAGAGAGACCAAGATTAATCCCAAGATGAATTATAGCGCTTAGGTGCTCTAAAGCGAGAACTTGTTATCACCAGAGAGTAGCCATAGAAGAACAATATGAAAAAGGAGATTTCCCTTCTTGGTCTCTTTTTTTTAAGCAAGTAGTTGCTTTCTGACAGAATGGATCTGGAAGGCTGAGATCCATCATCAACATGTGGTTTCCATGTGAATGCCCATTTAAATGCCATTCCCTTAATATCTCCCCCTTTATCCTCTTCACAGAAGGGAGGGGAGAAAAATGCTTCGAGTCTTCAAGTCTACAAGTAGACTGTTTAAGTTCTAGGTCAGTAGTTACTGAAGAGCACTTTCCAGTGGCAACTACATGTCTTTAATAACTACTCCCAAGCATCACCATTACTACCAAATGCCGCAGAATAAGAATTATTGGAGCTTCTTTTCTGTAATTGCAGCACATAATAGATCAGCTTGCTCTCTGCCTTGCTCTAGCCACATATATAAGTGTCCAGAAGGCTGCTGCTGTTTTTCAAGGAGAGGGAGGAATCTACCTGTTGTAAAAGAGGGATGCCCAGCCATCAGGCTGCGTTCTGTCTGCGCGAGCAATTCACCTGGGTTTGGGCTGGTTCCTGGGAGCGTTGTTCCCAGAGGCATCTCTGATGTGTGCAAAGAGTGAATCTCATGTTAGACAGGTTTTTCTGATGGTCTGCTCTTTGCTACTTTTTTCATGCAGCTTCTCTTCTGTTGGGAAATTATAAACGCGTTGTTCACTGAAATGGAGTAATCTCTGGTCACAGTTTGGGCATGTGACTGACTTACTCAGTCACGTGTTGGGAAAGGATTGCTACTTACAGCTCTCAAAATGCCTTGATAAAAGGCTGTGTGGCCTGCGTGAGCCAAAAGATGGAGCACACTCCTCTAAAATACTGCTCTGTGTAACGTTCACTTTTTGCCAGGGTTAGCTTTAGAAAATCAGATGGTCGATGCATGAACAAGTTACTGAAGGTCAAGCAGGGGTGAGCTTGAGGATGTCAGCTGCTCAAAAGCAGTTGCTAATGTGCATACTTTTAGCCCGCAGAAAGCATGAGGTGGTTTACCCCTGAGAAAAGAGGGATGCGCATTTACTGTGGGGCTAAGGAATACACTTGAAGAGCTGCTGCAGAGCAGCTGGAGTGTCAGACACTGCTCACACCATAATTTCCTCATGGGAATGGACGGAGTTATTAACTTTGCTTTGAATTCTTCAGAATTTCTTCATACGTGGAGAAAAATGTAGGGCATTGCTCTACATGATATTTGTAATGGTAGTCTTTATACAACTGTGCTAGTTGAAACAAACAGTCCCTAGTATGTTCAAAGCATTTCACTAAAATGTTAATTACTGATTATTTTAAGTCAGTAATTATTAAAGAACAATCTCTGTGGTAACTAAGTATCTTAAATAACTACTTCCACATGTTAAAATACGTACTAAACAAGCTGCTTTTGCTTGGGTACTAGATAATTGTACAAACAAGGTTGCTTTTGAAACACAGGTGAGTGGTTCTTTCTCATTTCATCTGTTCCTGCAGTTTATCCCCATTTTAACATCAAAGATGTTTATACATTACTGAATATTTTAATGGAAATCAGAAACCTGGGAAGAAAGAAGCAGCAAGAAAGGAAAGCCATATGGATTAAATATCCTGATTTTATGCAGACCTGTTTAGTAAGAAATACTGAGTGGAAGGAAACAGTGAAAACATGAGCCAGAATTATTTCTAGAGGGGCATCTATTTTAAAGATTTTTTGTATGAGACATCACAGATATAAAGGGAAACAATTTTCAAAGGCGACTCATGCCTTGATATTTTAAGAATCTTTTATAAGGACTGACTTGAGATGCCTGACTTTCTAGAAAGTGCTAAGCAGTCATCCACCGAAAATAAGACTTTTTTTAGAAAAAGCTGCTCAGCTTGGGCTCCCAGTTTCAACAATCACTTCTTGCCAGTTTTAACCAAGGTATCAGTCTGCACTTAGAGTGCATTTATTAAATCTGAAATTATCCTTGCCTGGGGGGAAGAAACCAACAAAACCCACATGACAAGGTAGGCTTGTGTCTTCCTGTCGGCTTTGCCTCCGGGGAAAGCTGGTACCTGTAAATCTGGCAGCTGCAAAGCTGGCAGGGTAGCTGGTGGCTGTTCACAGAAATTGCAAAGCCAGAGATGCACAAGCTTTGTCAGTACTGTGTGACTGTGCGTTTGGTTGTAGCTGCGCAACTCAACAGCTTCTTTGCCTGTCGTATAGGACCCAGAGAGTGTGTGTTGCTGCTCCTCCCAGATCAGTCAGTCGGTGCTTTCACCCGCCCTTAGTAAAAGCCCTGTTGTCTGTCATTATCTCCACTCCAGTTACTCCAGGCAGGCCTGATAGTAGTGTTGACTGTGCTCTCTTAGTGTCAACCCTGCCCTATACTTCCCAATACACCCCTGAGAAAGAAGGAGCAAGTAAAACTCATGGAAGTATTTTGTAAAAGAATCCCAAATAAGCCATAAAATATTGTAATTAATGCAGCATGGAGATGTTTGCCCTTCATCTCTTCCTGGAAACAGAATTAGTTTAGTGTACGCACATTATGCCCCTGCCGGTCTGTTGGACAGTACGTAGCAGCAGCAGGACCCTGGTGTATTGGCGGGGAGCCACCATCTCCTGCCTGACAGCTTCCTCACCATTTGGGAGGCTCTTGAGTCCCCTCAACAGTTCACACCCACTGGGGTGGTTACAAGAGATGCAGCTGTAGCAACAAAAAGGGTGTGAGGTCTGTTGGAAGGTTCTGCTGCCCCAAAACTGCCCCAGAGTTGTCCGTCCTGGTTGGTGCCAGGGGTGAATTTTGTGCTCCGTACCCCCGGCGCCCCACAGTCTGTGTGGCGGACCAGGGAGGTCCGTGCTCTTCCAGGCCGTGTTCAGAGGGTCTGCTCAGCCACGGCAGGGCCAGCAGCGTCACGCATGCAGGGGGAGGACTGCTGCCCCCCCCCCGCCCCCGAGTGCCCCTGTAAATGCAGGGGGACCCTGCTGGGTCTCCGCACTGGGCCTAGATCAACAAGTGCAGGCAACGTGCTGCTGCACGGGCACCTGCTGTCACGCTGCTCAGCGCGCCCAGGTTGCCGCTCCGCGGACGCTGGGCTGGGAGCCAAATTGCGTAAGCATGTGGTGGCTGGGGCAAGCGCTGTCTGTCGCAAGGAAAATCTGCATAGCTCATCCAACTGCCCGTTGCCTGAAATCATGGAGATGGACCAAAAAATGACAGACAAAGCCTCCAGCTACAGCCGAATAGTGCAGCGTTACAGTATAAGAGAGCTTGTCTTTTTTTTTGTTATGCATTTGACACTTTTTCATGATGTTTGACATTTTAAATAAAGAAATTGTCTTTCTTTTATAATGTGGAAATCACTTGGATCTTCCTGGGAGAGACACCTCAGCATTGTTCCTAATTGTTTTTGTGCTCCCAAATTAAAATGCACGTTTTAATTGCAGCATCTGTAATTTTAGCAGAAATGGTATAATTACAGGCACGATAGAGAGAGAATGTGCATCATCCCCTTATTATGTATCTACATTTCGTTTCAACCTTTTGTCTCAACCTTGTCTGGGGTCTGTCAAACAGACTAACAGAGTCAGCGCTCTTTCAAGAAACACATTTAACTGTGGCTTTTTCAGTTTTCAGTTATTATCTTACTTCATAGCTTCCTTTTGGCACTAAGGGGAAAGCAGAAAATACGGAGAAGTTTTAACTGCTCTCCGTGACTAGTGAGCCCAGTGGGTGCTGGATGGAGAGCCCTGGAACAGAAAGTTCAGTAAATGAGCCCGGGATGGGAGAGCACAGCCATCGCTGACATGAGCTCGGCTGCCAGGCCAGACATCCTTGTCGAGCCCCAGTCTTCCCTTCTTCCCCGGCTGCTCCTGAGGTAGCTAAGTGAGAGGTGTTTCTGGAAAGTCTGTCCTTCTCTACAAGAGGGGAACTGCAGCCAGAAACCCATTTTTGATGGGGAGCTAAATAGTTTGTTCACACATTAAAGAGTTTGGGTTACTACCTGTAAAAGGCCATCTGTCTAATTACCAGTTGCTAAGGGGTCCAGCCTTCTCTTTTTGTCAGTATTTTCCTTCTTAGCTTGAGGAAAACTTTAGCATTAAGAATCTGGATGGTTATTGATGTTACTAGTGTTGTTTAATGCTCTTGCTGAGTACCAAAAGGTTTTACTGGTAGATATGGGAGACTAAGCTAAGGCTTCAGTCCTAGTTCATGTGACTCTTCCCAAACTGACCTTTTCTTCAATGGGAAGAACGAAAAAAAAATTTGCAAATTTACAGTCCTCTTGTAGGATGCTGTGTTCAGAAACCAGCATCCCACCTTCTGTTGCTTGCAGTCTCTCAATTGAAAAATGCCTGCAAATAATTTTACACAGTAGTAGTTATATATGAATGCAAATGCTGTGTTTTGGTTTTGTTTGGCTTTTTTTTGTCTTCAGAAAAGGCCGTCTTTCAAGCAGATCATTTCAATCCTGGAATCCATGTCAAATGACAGCAGCCTTCCAGACCAGTGTAACTCATTCCTGCATAACAAGGCGGAGTGGAGGTAAGCTTCCTTCCTTCCAAGATGAAATGACGTGGTTTTCCTTTGAAATGCCGTGAGTCCATATTCTTCAGAAAGACATCAGACTCCGATGATGTACTGGTAGAGAATATCTGTGCTTGAGGTATTTTTAGAGCGTAACTTACCTTGTTGTTTTTCAGGAA